GCAGATTTTTCTTCTACAACCACACAACACATCATAAAACTTCATCAAAACTATATCCGTGTCTAATTTCATGGACCCTAATGCCTCTAACAAACCAATTCTTTTCCGAAAATCTTTATGAAAGTACCTTCATGTCTGATTACTTGATCAAGATCAACAGGTAACGGAATAGGACTTTGCTTAACCCGTTGCTTCCTGGAATCCAAAAAGATATAAAATTGAACCAATTTCTAAAAACCCATTTCCCAGATATATATCAATATACCCAAATTTCACAATTTCTCAAGATCTAAAGAACCCTAAAAAGAAAAATCGAATTTTGATTACTTTACCTTCTTGAAGAACCCGAAGAAGGTGGGGTTGATTTAAACAACAAATTGGAACGTCTCCTTCGCTTCGAAGAACTTTTTTCAGGAGTATCATCCACCACGAAGCTAGCGATTATCAGATCCTCTTCGTCCCAACCCGCCATAGCTGCCGCCGATTTGAATCTCGGGCTGATAAAAATCTCTGCTTTCTCACCGTTCTTCTCCCTCGCGATCAATCTTTCTTTAGATCCACCATCTCCGGATCGATTAGTAACTCTCGTTGGTGTTTCAGTCACCATTTATCTCGATTTTAGGGTTTCGAGATTTTCCTGTTTGATTTCCAGAGAACACGATCCGGGGAAGAGGAAGAAGATAATATATTCTCTCAACGGTCTGATTTTCTTTTTAAAAATCTTGATTTCTTTCGCAACGGCTATTTTGAAATTGGGCCTTTATTGGGCCTACTAACTTTTTTGATTTTCTTTCCTTTTTTCACGTATATCTTCCTTCTTCACTACACTACTCGACCAAAATTACAGAAAAATTTCGACACGTGTCTCCGATGAAATGTGTAACAAAAAAAAAAACAAAATTATGACTAATTGGCTTTATTGAGCTATTTATTTAATCTTTCGAGCTATCCTACTATGGTCCATTAAGCCCATTATAACTCTAACTTCGTCTTCCTCTTTTTCCCAAACTAAACGCTTCGTTTTACTGTCTTTGAATTTTTCCAACACACGATCTCTAAGCCCCGTGTCCTTCACTTCGCAGAACCTCTCAGCCCAATCGGGTGGTTCAACGGGTCGGGTTCCTAAACCGGGTGCTCGATCTCTCGACCCGACATTCTCCTCGTTTTGCCAATCCGCCACGTAAGTCGCGACTCTCCTATAAAACTTCTCCTTGAAAACCTCCCAAACCTGATATTTATAATGGTTAATCACCATCACATCTTTGTCCACGTCAGCAAACGTGAATCCATTTCTGAGATGAAAATGGTGCACCACGTTGATTAGCGTTTCGTTCATCGATTCTGGTCGGAGAATGCTTTTGTGTCTCTCCGGTAAAACCACACGGCAAGTGTATCCCGCCGTTACTCCATCTTTAGGCCGACTTCTCAATCCCGATGGTCCGAAACTGTGGCACGGCGTTCGAATTTCGCCGATCTGTTCGGAGGTTGTGTAATTTCTGATGATATTTGTTAGGGTTTGACCGGAAGGGATGTAGAAGAACTCGTCGACGTCGATAAAAGCGATCCAATCGCAGTCGCTACGAGCGCGAATCGCGCAATTGGAGAATCCGGCTTCTTGTGTTTTGATCCACGGCCAAAAATGTCTTGAAATGTTATAACCGCGATTTTCGAGATCTTTGATTTCGGCGATTATATCGTCGTCGCTGTTGTTGTCGTAGATGAACCACCGTTGAACTCCGATTCCGGCGTGGTAAATCACCCATTCTCTCAAAACCGTGGCTGCGTTTCGCGTCATGGTGCAAACGCACATCTCGAACGGTTTCTTTCGAAGCGGCGGGTTAATGATCCGACCCGGTTGAGCAATCGATGGAAGCATACCGGTTCCTCCTTTGATTCTAACAGAAACTTTAACAGGCCCATGAGCTAATTTTGGGCCATCTAACACAGCTAAAGGTGTTCTACACCGTACGATCTCCTGCGCCGCGGAAATGACGTTTGATCTTATTAACCGATTGCGTTTCGCGAAATCCCAGCCGTACACGCACTCATATCTCGACACGTCAGCAACTCTCCCTGGCCGTAGATTTAATCCCTTGACGAAAACCACCGTGGAGTTATCGTAGTCGATCACTGCATCGTAAACCAGCCAATCCCACCGATGAGTGGGCCCAGACGGAAGATGATCATCCGTCGTCCATCTCGACACAGCAAGCGATATAGTGTAGCCACGTGGAGTCTCAGGACACCGTACGATCTGACCTCCGTGTTTATCGATGTCCACAGCCGTCGGATGCTCTTTCCGTAGCTTCTTGTCGCCGGAGAAAACGCAGAGTAGATCGTCTTTGGTAAATAGACGAAGAGACCGAGGGTGTTTTAGGAAAACAAGTGTCTGCTCAGGTAATTTCACCGCTTCACGAATCGAAACCACCGGAGACGGAGTTACAGACTCGCCGAGAACCGCCCTTGCCGTTGAGAAGCTTATAGTCGAACGCACCACCGGACGAAACTTCCCTGCTAAATTTATTAATTTCAGTTTCTTTTTCATTTAAACCGTTCGAATTTGAAAAATAGAAAAACCGTTTGAAGTTACCTTTGAAGACGAACATGGTAGAGAAGAGAACGAAGGAGAAGACGAAGAGAACGACGAACCAGAAAAACGTCCGCCACGTAACAACGACGTCGCCGCCGCAACCACCACCAAATTTCCTACGAACTTTCATCTCCTACGCCGTCTAAATCGCCGGCGTTGGCCGTTGATTACACGGGAAGATACTCTGTTTTATATTATTATTTTTTCGTTGAGAAAAAAGTATGGTTTCTGGGTTGATGATTAACAGAGAAATAGAATTTTGAATTTTCGTAA